ATAATAAAACAATAATAATAATAAAACAATAATAATAATATGTAGTAAAGGTGTAGAACAAGAAACGATATCTGCATCATACAGTCCATGACACCGATGTCCTCTTACCTGTGTAGACAAAGCGCCCCGGCGATCCTTTACAGAAGTGTTTGGACTTGTAGGAGAGCGTCACCTCCACCACGCCGGGGATGTGCCTCGGAGGTGTCTGAACTCTGATGGCATGGGGGGTTATTAGCTAGGAAAACAGAAGGATTACCTGTCACAGGATGTAATGTCCTCTTTATTGGTCCACCATTTATATAACAGTCCATCCATCCAATATCTGACAGGACGCACACTGCCATCTCATACACTGCTTACTGATCCAGCACTGCTTCATCCTCCAATATCAGACAAGATACACACTGTCACCTTATATACAGCCTATGGATCCAGCACCGCTTCCTCCTCCAATATCAGGCAAGACACAGACTGTAACCTTATATACAGCCTATGGATCCAGCACCGCTTCCTCCTCCAATATCAGACAAGACTGTCACCATATATACAGCCTATGGATCCAGCACCGCTTCCTCCTCCAATATCAGACAAGACTGTCACCATATATACAGCCTATGGATCCAGCACCGCTTCCTCCTCCAATATCAGACAAGACTGTCACCATATATACAGCCTATGGATCCAGCACCGCTTCCTCCTCCAATATCAGACAAGACTGTCACCATATATACAGCCTATGGATCCAGCACCGCTTCCTCCTCCAATATCAGACAAGACTGTCACCATATATACAGCCTATGGATCCAGCACCGCTTCCTCCTCCAATATCAGACAAGACTGTCACCATATATACAGCCTATGGAACCAGCACTGCTTCCACAAGCAATATCAGACAAGACACACACTGTCACCATATAAACAGTGTACGGATCCAGCACTGCTTCCTCCTCCAATATCAGACAAGACACACACTGTCACCATATAAACAGTGTACGGATCCAGCACTGCTTCCTCCTCCAATATCAGACAAGACTGTCACCATATATACAGCCTATGGAACCAGCACTGCTTCCTCCTCCACTATCAGACAAGACACACACTGTCACCATATAAACAGTGTACGGATCCAGCACCGCTTCCTCCTCCAATATCAGATATGACACACACTATCACCATATATACAGCCTATGGAACCAGCACTGCTTCCTCCTCCACTATCAGACAAGACACACACTGTCACCATATAAACAGTGTACGGATCCAGCACCGCTTCCTCCTCCAATATCAGATATGACACACACTATCACCATATATACAGCCTATGGAACCAGCACTGCTTCCTCCTCCACTATCAGACAAGACACACACTGTCACCATATAAACAGTGTACGGATCCAGCACCGCTTCCTCCTCCAATATCAGATATGACACACACTATCACCATATATACAGCCTATGGAACCAGCACTGCTTCCTCCTCCACTATCAGACAAGACACACACTGTCACCATATATACAGCGTACCGATCCAGCACGGCTTCCTCCTCCAATATCAGATATGACACACACTATCACCATATATACAGCGTACAGATCCAGCACTGCTTCCTCCTCCAATATCAGACATGACACACACTATCACCATATATACAGCGTACGGATCCAGCAATGCTTCCACCTCCAGTTGATAACAAGGCTCATGCTATCATACATATTATTAGGGACATACGTATATACATATATATATACATTTAATAATTCCCCTCAGCATGCAACTCACCTCACTCCACACCAGCATTGTGCCAAACACCACCTGCAGACCGTCGAAGAAGTGGTCTCCTATGAGGATGACGGTGGCTCCACCCGTGGTCCAACCCTCGCTGGGACTGATGGCTTTGATACACGGGGTTGCTGCTTCATGATCAGAGAAGGAAACCATAGAATGTGATATAATAAAGGATACACAGTACGAATAATATATACATATACTAAACATAGACCGGGATGCCATGACGTACACTGTAACAGGAGACAAAGCTTTCCTCCTACATCTGTCTTCTCCATGACTAATCAGACACAAGAGGAAACCATCTCAACCACAGACCATGGTAAGCACATTGGGCACATTCTGCCCCTAAAGTGTAACTAAACCTTTTGCATCCTATGGTGAGTTATTACTCCAGAAGAGTACGAACCCTTCCTAGGAATGAGAGCACAGCACAGGAACGGGCCACACTTGGTAGGTTTTGGCAGGTGGCTGTGTGACCTCATTGGTGATCTCACTGGATCATGGAGCAAGATGAGTATAAGACTTGTAGACGGGGGCACGGCATGCTACAATATTGGCCCAACAAGAACCCTCTAGCACTCTTGAAACTTCTGACACCTTTTATTATGACCTATGCTGCAATTAGGGAGATCGTCCCTCATGTCCTACCCCAGTGATAGGTATCAAGAAGCCAAGACGTGGGGTAGATCCTCCCAAGGAAGATACACACAGTTTTGCTTAGAGCTTTTCTATACCAACAAACAAAAATAAGACAGCTCACTAGTCCTTAGATGTGGTAGCTGCATTAGTTTTCTTTTTTTCTGGCTTTTTTCCTGCCCTGCCCCACTTCCTGCCCTAGGGTGACACAACAAAGGCTGCAGCTAACTATTATTTTCATAATCGATTAGTTGCCCGATTATTTTTTCAACTAATCGATTGGTTGTATAAAAAAAAAAACTCTCTCCCAACCAACTAATTGATGATGAGAATGGTTGCCAACTATACTCATTATCGATTATAATCGATTTAATCGATTAGTTGTTGCAGCCCTAGACACAACACTTACTCGTTATACTGTATAGAGGAGCGGCGTTGTCACCCAAGGACAGGAAGTGTTTTAGAATTATGCGACTCCTCCCTTTGTTCCATTACATGGAGAGGGGTACAGTATGAGGGATTTTGTAGTTCACAGAGACAGCTGGCAACAATGTAACTTATAAGAATACAGCACAGGCAGAGACCACAGGAAGTTTTCAGCTGACGAGGTTTCTGTCAGGATCAGCGGGTCATTTTTTCACTTATCGTATAGATAACAAAACCCTTTTACTGGTATATTTCATAGACCAAAAGGGAGTAAATAAGAAAAGTTCATAGTTCGGGTTTACATACACTTCAGGTTCCATTTTCACTGGCCACACTGAGTTTTAGGGAGAGCGGGAGTGGCTTCATCCGCCTCCGGCTTATAGCTTGGTGACAAGCCCCATGCTTCCCCCTCACTATATAGATCAGAGTTATATAGATGTATACAGCCTTCCTCCATGGAGACCGGATACAGTAATATTATACACACACCTTCTGAAGGGTCCAGTCTCCGAGCCCGGCGTCCATGCTTGGAGTTATTGTGTACGAACATGTTATCAGACACGGCGAGGACGTGTCCATCCACATTCACTGTTGTAGAAACCACCACCTGAAACACAGGATTATAAACCTTCATGAGACAGCCAATAGGAATGAGTGATGCTGTACTTATAGGTCCAGTGACGGGGCGATCAAGTCTATTCATCTGTACCCGGAGTACACAGAGATAAGGGAGCTGAGCCCACACATTCCTCAGTGTAATGGGCCAATGGAGGGGTATGAAGACATATTACCGCTTCTAACACCATGGAAAGTGCAAGTCCTCTTCATTAAGGGAGCACAAGTCCCATTGCAATGGATTTATCCTCCCTTCCTCCTTTCTCTATTTCTCCCTTCCCTCCTTCCCCCCTGCCTTCATTTTTTACTTTCCTCCCACCTTTCTTTCCTCCATTGCCTTGTTCATTCCCACCCATCCCTCTTTCCTACCTTTTTCCTTTCTTTCCTTCTCTCCTTCCTTCCCATGTTTCTTTCATTTCTTCCTACCATCCACTCTTCCCTCTTTCCTTCCTTCTTTCCCTGCATATTTTCTTTCTAACCCTCCTTCTCTCCCCCTTCCCACCTTCCTTTCATTCCCTCCTTTCTTCCGTTCCCTCTTTCCTCCCCTCCATCCTTCCCACCTCCATTTCCTTCCCTCCTTCCTACCATTCTTCATTCCCTTCTTTCTTCTGTTCCCTCTTTCCTTCATTCCATCCTTCCTACCTTCCTTTCCTTCCCTCCTTCCTACCATTCTTTCTTCCTTTCTAACCTTCCCCCCTTTCTTTACTTCCCTCTTTCCTTCCTTCTTTATTTCTTTCCCACCCCTCCCTCTTTTCTACCCGTTTCCCTGCTTTCCTCACCCTCCTACCTTTCTTTCTTTCCTTTCTTCCTACGTCCTTTCCTATCATCCCACTCTTCACTCTTTCTTTCCTTATTTCCCTACTTCCTTCCTAACCTTCCTTCTCTACCCCTTCCTTTCCTTCCTTACCTCTTTTCTTCCCTTCCCTCTTTCCTCCCTTCCATCCTTCCTACCATTCTTTCCTTTCCAACCTCCCCCCCCTTTCTTTACTTTCCTCTTTCCTTCCTTCCTACCATTCTTCCTTCCTAACCTTCTTTCCCTCCCTCCCTTTCCTCTTTCCTTCCTTCCCTTCTCTCTTTCCTCCCTTGTCTCTCTCCCTTCTTTCTCGCCCTTCTTTTCTTCCTCCCCCTGCTTTCCTTCCTTTCCATTCTTCTTTATCTTCCTTCTGTCCTACCCTACTCCTGTGCTTTTATATTTTACATCAATCCTTATCCTTTATTTAATAAATTGAACCAATCACATCATTTCCTACTCCCGGAGGATCTTCCACTTCAGCCACACACACACACACACACACACACACACACACGCACACACAGACTGGGTTACACCGTCATTAGTCTATCCCTATGTGACAGGAAAGTGGAGCAGCCAGAGGAAGCTACAACACACACTCCATGCTGACATTGTACCTGGCAGGACAGGAATTCAGGGCCCCGGTGTGGGAAACAAAGATCACTAACCACTTAGCTCCCGTGCCGCAGACATGGAAATGACCAGAAGTGTACACAAGTGTCTACGGGAACATTTAGAAGGATGATTTGAATTATTTTGGATAACGTAGTTTAGGCTGAACACATATTTTTGCGCGTTCATATTGCAGGCAGAGTTCCCGGGCCAAGCTGTCCAGTATCACTTTTTTTCTCTGTGATTTGATATCATTGGCTGTAGGATGTCTCCAGCATCACCTCCTGAGTGGAAATGTCCGGTTCCCCCCCCCAGGATTGTATATGGGAGACACGAGGCCTCGGCGTTCAGCTCTCAGCGCACAGGTGAGGCGGAGAGTGCCATCGGAGGAGGCAGAGAGGCAGAGTTTGTTGTCAGCATTAAGAAATGCAAATGAAGTGGCATGCTAATCACGTCAGAATGTCATAATTATCAGCTCTTTAAGGAGCCCCCTAATGAGGTGACGAGCCCCGCTGTGAGGAGCTACAGAGAGTTCCTCGTTACATTCACCCGGTGGCATCCTGCGGGCTTAACCCTTCCGGCGCCGCACGCCAGGCAAAGCCTTGCTCATCGGCGGTACGGCCGCAGAGGTTGCTCACCTCGCTCAGAGTCGGGGTGACCATACACAGCCTAACCTTGGCCCAATTTGGTTATTGGCTATGGCAATCAGAGGGCCATAAGGCCACATAGGACACAGGGACTTCACATATTTTTCCATCCACCTCCTCCACTGGAACCCGCCGCGACGGAAGGTTCCGGTGGAGTTGAGCACTTTTTGCCCGTCGTTACTGGTCAGGCGTGAAGAGCAAGAAAGAGCGGCAGATAATTGTCCCAAGGGTCCACAAAAACCTTTACTGGCCTCACAAATGGCGACCAGAAGATATGCACAGCCAACACGTTTCAGAGGTTCACGTGGATTACTCATTCTGGGCATTCCCTCACTTTAGAGCGCCCCCCATTTTGTGAAGAACTACCGAGCCATCGAGCCCAAATATTGCCCCATTCCTATAGAGAAAGTTCATGGTCCAGTACCTAATCCCCACTCACCCTTGGACTATTGGTCAGGTGCCTAGCCCATTGTGATTATGTTCACCGCTACACTTACCCTGGCCTGGTATTCCCTGACTTCCTGGCTAACCCCTGCCAACTATCATCAAGGTGGAAGAGGTCAGCTATGGGGGCTTGTCCGGACCAGAACAGTTTGTTCTTGGACCCAGGGCTGGTGGCTAGACTATTGGTATTTCTGGGCTCTATTCACACCAGCGCAGTCCGTTCCGGTCCAGACAAAAAAAAATACTGCTCGTCTTGTTTTCTCTGGTCCGGAACACACTGGACTGGATCTGAAAGCTGCGTTTGCAGATCTAGATTTGGTGATGTCATCACTGGATTTCTATGCTTCTCTATGCAACGCAGGCAGGCCATGGCTGGTGAGAGGGATCGGCAGGGTGTTGCACATCCTGATACCATGACAGCACCCTGCCTTAGGACTTGATGTAACCAGTGGGCGGCCTCTGAGGAGCCCAGGAACCTCTTTGGAACCCGGTGAACATTTCAGGACTGATAATACGATCGGTCAGCGGGTGACAACGGTCAGAATGTCTCACCTGGAATCTTCTCATATCTCGTGGGTTCCCGGCGTTCTTCAGACAGTTCTGATTGCACTTTAGGAAGAACTTCAAGAAGAACCTGCAAGACAAAAGTGAGGCCATTAAGAACATTGACCCGACAACGGTGGATCCTGGGCTGTGACCCCGCACAAACATTGACCCGACACCGGTGGATCCTGGGCTGTGACCCCGCACAAACATTGACCCGACACCGGTGGATCCTGGGCTGTGACCCCGCACAAACATTGACCCGACACCGGTGGATCCTGGGCTGTGGTGGAGATAATGGCTTCTGAGATCAGTTTCTGGCATTCTACCACCACACCCACACAGGAATCACACAGAGTTGTGTAACGCCAAGAGATATATATATATATATCCATCTCTCTCTCTCTCTCTATATATATATATATGTCTATATTTTTTTCTTATACCCCTCGGTGAACGTTGTCTATGGCGCTACCCCTTTAACAGACCACTCATGAACCGTGCTTTACGGGAAATGGCCGGAGCAATTAAACCTCGGCTGCATGAAAGGGAAATATCATGAATAATTAAGTGTCCATTTCTCATGTGCTCAGCAAAGCACACACACCCCCCCTCACCTGTCAGCGCATGTAACCCATTGTAAGTCCACTCTTATAATATACGGATCTATAACACGCTCCGGGTGGTACCAGTGGCCGGGGTATGGCCGCTGCTTCATCGGCCTCTGCGGGATCAATCTAATGGAAGGCCATGAAACATTCTGCCCCCCCGGAGCAGCTGCCATTGTCATTCGTAGACTTTATTAAAGAGATCGGCCTTAAGAGCAATTCCAGTTAACATGTGAGATCAATTACTTGATGAGCCTTAAAGAGAACCTGTGGACTCACCTCACTTCTATAGGTGGCCTCCGGTCTCTAAAACAGGCAAATTCACTTTAATCCGAATTAAAGGGGGGGGGGGGGGAGTTCAGACGACTCCTCGCAGGGTCACCGGGAGTCTACTTCCCGACCCCTCTGCTGTTCAAACTCCTCCCCCTTTATCTCTGCTCTACAAATTGTATCCAGACCTCCAATCTGGGTTTTAATTTGATGGGTCGGCTTCGAGAAACTTCTTGTTGCTGGAATTTTTGACATCGGGCTTTTAGCATGAGAATGAGGTGTGTTTGAGAATTCCGAATCAGGGTTCCCAGATCATGAGATTCCAGATATACGGGAGCTGGGAGGACCGGCACTCTATGGCATGAAGCACTGGACTGCTCCGCGGCTCGGCTCGGCTGCCTTTACATATTTATAATACAAAGGAAATAATCATATTGAGGTGATTTATACATGCATGTTATATGTACGTGGGGCATGCCGTGTCTACTCTTCATAGGATGGCCTGAACTTTGATGAGTGTACAATTGCCGATGGTGCACTTGCCCCTAATGATCTAACCTTTGTCAGGGAACTAGTGCTATTGCTCAATGTGGACTTGACCCTGATGAAGCCACACAGCTGGTGAAACGTGGGGAATGAATCTGGGAGCACTTTGATGTTGGTGAGCGAAATATAGAAAATGTAGAAGGAGATATGTACTAAAAGGCAGCAGTCTAAACCTAACTTTATATGTACATGGGGGTAGACAGTATCTACTGTTCATATAATGACCTAACCCTAAGTGCTATTGCTCATTGTGGACTTGACCCCGATGAAGCCACATAGCTGGTGAAACGTGTTGGGAATGGATATGTGAGCACTTTAAACCCTATGAGGCACAGTAAGGGAGGTCAGGTGACCTCTTGTTCTACTCTATGAGACACAGTAAGGGAGGTCAGGTGACCTTTCTCTCTACCCTATGAGGCACAGTAAGGGAGGTCAGGTGACCTCTTGTTCTACTCTATGAGGCACAGTAAGGGAGGTCAGGTGGCCTTTCTCTCTACCCTATGAGGCACAGTAAGGGAGGTCAGGTGACCTTTCTCTCTACCCTATGAGGCACAGTAAGGGAGGTCAGGTGACCTCTCTCTCTACCCTATGAGGCACAGTAAGGGAGGTCAGGTGACCTTTCTCTCTCCCCTATGAGGCACAGTAAGGGAGGTCGGGTGACCTCTCTCTCTCCCCTATGAGGCACAGTAAGGGAGGTCGTGTGACCTCTCTCTCTCTCTCCCCTATGAGGCACAGTAAGGGAGGTCAGGTGACCTCTCTCTCTCCCCTATGAGGCACAGTAAGAGAGGTCGGGTGACCTCTCTCTCTCCCCTATGAGGCACAGTAAGGGAGGTCGGGTGATCTCTCTCTCTCCCCTATGAGGCACAGTAAGGGAGGTCAGGTGACCTCTCTCTCTCCCCTATGAGGCACAGTAAGAGAGGTCGGGTGACCTCTCTCTCTCCCCTATGAGGCACAGTAAGGGAGGTCAGGTGACCTCTCTCTCTCCCCTATGAGGCACAGTAAGGGAGGTCAGGTGACCTCTCTCTCTCCCCTATGAGGCACAGTAAGGGAGGTCAGGTGACCTCTCTCTCTCCCCTATGAGGCACAGTAAGAGAGGTCGGGTGACCTCTCTCTCTCCCCTATGAGGCACAGTAAGGGAGGTCAGGTGACCTCTCTCTCTCTCTCCTATGAGGCACAGTAAGGGAGGTCAGGTGACCTCTCTCTCTCCCCTATGAGGCACAGTAAGGGAGGTCAGGTGACCTCTCTCTCTCCCCTATGAGGCACAGTAAGAGAGGTCGGGTGACCTCTCTCTCTCCCCTATGAGGCACAGTAAGGGAGGTCGGGTGACCTCTCTCTCTCTCCTATGAGGCACAGTAAGGGAGGTCAGGTGACCTCTCTCTCTCTCTCCTATGAGGCACAGTAAGGGAGGTCAGGTGACCTCTCTCTCTCCCCTATGAGGCACAGTAAGGGAGGTCAGGTGACCTCTCTCTCTCTCCCCTATGAGGCACAGTAAGAGAAGTCGGGTGACCTCTCTCTCTCCCCTATGAGGCACAGTAAGGGAGGTCAGGTGACCTCTCTCTCTCTCTCCTATGAGGCACAGTAAGGGAGGTCAGGTGACCTCTCTCTCTCCTATGAGGCACAGTAAGGGAGGTCAGGTGACCTCTCTCTCTCCCCTATGAGGCACAGTAAGGGAGGTCAGGTGACCTCTCTCTCTCCCCTATGAGGCACAGTAAGAGAGGTCGGGTGACCTCTCTCTCTCCCCTATGAGGCACAGTAAGGGAGGTCGGGTGACCTCTCTCTCTCTCCTATGAGGCACAGTAAGGGAGGTCAGGTGACCTCTCTCTCTCTCCCCTATGAGGCACAGTAAGGGAGGTCAGGTGACCTCTCTCTCTACCCTATGAGGCACAGTAAGGGAGGTCGGGTGACCTCTCTCTCTGGTCTCTGCAAAGTCAGAACAGGGATATGAAAGCTGAATCTTTTTTATTTAACCAAATACATTTTTGTTATTAGCAAGGAGTTGTAACAGATTGTATCTGTCAACACGCCATCAGACCAGAACGTGGCATGATTATTTTTTTTTTTTAAGCTGCTTCTTAATGGCGAGCATCCCTAAAGAGAACCAGTCACCACTAGGCTCATGCAGGAAATCTATTGTATTTTATTGTTAAATTATATTATTATTATTACTTTTTTATTATTATTTTATGGTTACTATTATTATTATTATTAATAATAGTAACCATAAAATAATAAGAATCATTATCATCATCTAATGGGGTATTGATTTTGATTGGAGTTGACTTTACCACCAGCCCACCTGTGACACTTATTCCCAAGTTTAGCTCTAAAAATTAACCCTTACATTACCCTCACTCACTCATAGAAGCCTTCACAATAAAGTGTTTCTAAACCAAAACAGCTTTTGTTTCATTTTGGATGGAGCTTGGTAGGGTGAGAACCTCTGCCTGGGTAACATTGTTGTGTGTGCCTGTAAAAAAAATAAATCAAGGCAACTGCACTTGCTGTATCCTTATTGTAGACTTTTCGCCGGTCATCCGACCAGCTTTCTTAATTCAGAATTGAGAAAGCTGGTCAGACGACCAGCAAAACGTCTTCAAGAAAAATATAGCGAGTCTACTTGCCTGGATTTATTTTTTTTATAGTTATATCGTGACCTGGATGAATGAGAACCTTCACAGACATTGCTGTGTGTGGTGGATTCCCCCTTTCCTGTTTCTTCTGGTGTCTTTGTCACAGATACTGATGGGAAAACCAAAATGTTGAGTCGTCACCTGAACAGAGAAAGAAACAGAATCTCCCAATGGGGACACCTGTTGCGGGGTACAGCTGTCTAAGACGGGACTTTCCCTCACTTTAAAGGGATTTTCCTTCACTTCCTGTTAAGTCTACAGGATGGGAAGTTGAAGAAAATCTCCCCCAATGGGACACAGATGACCAAACAGAAAGGTGTTATCGGATATACACTATATTGCCAAAAGTATTGGGACGCCTTTGCACGCACATGAACTTTAATGGCATTGCAGTCTTAGTCCGTAGGGTTCAGTATTGGATTGGCTCCGCCCTTTGTCGCTATAACAGCTCCAACTCTCTCACTTTGTTATAATACCAGTAACAGGTGACCGCAGAATATTTAGTAGCCAGGAAATATCACAGAACACCTGAATCCAATGATTTGGAGGGGTGTCCCAATACTTTCGGCAATATAGTGTACGTTACCTTTTCATATAACTTCCTAACACCCTACCCTATGCTTAACCTAGCTCTTAAGTCCAACCGGTGTAGGTAATAAACTGTCTGCTGGGTGTATACCGGGCCCTCTGTGGTACAGGGGACCCCATGGAAAATAAGGGGAGCTGACTTGTTTTGACTTAATAAGACATTAGGAATTCACTGATTGATTTTTCTTGCTGCCTGCGGTGGCTCTTTGCTTCCATCCCAGAGATAACAGATCTTTGCTTGACTTGAACATGGCCTGGGATCTCCTATGGGATTACAGCCATCAGAAGGTCCCTTTTAGCGATGCAGCACATGAAGAGCCAGCTATGTAAGCGTGGGCCAGCGTCAGACTTCGACTCGGAGGATCAGAGGACGGCACAAACCCAGGAAGAGGAACAGGGAATGAACAGGAGCCAGACAAAGACAAGAGACAGACAAGATCCATTCCCAG